TACTATAAATATGATTCATGTTACAATGCTAAAAAGAACTTGAGATGAATAATATAATATCACTTTTCTTCTTCTCTTTATCTCCTTTGTCTCTATATCATTTTGTTTTTATTTAATTTAATAATAATAATAATAATAATAATATATAAAGTGATTATTTCTTCCTTACAATTCAAGTTGTTAATTACAAAAACATTTGAGACATGTGACACCATGTTTCATTGTTACTCTCCTCACTGTCACATAACAGAGGAGTTGTTGCTGTTGCTGTTGCGTGTGTAACCCGATTTGGTGGTTACTCCCATCACATCTTCCACCACCACCACCACCACCACCATCATGCCAATCACCAACCACCACAACCACAACCTCCACACACCACTCCGTACAACCCCATCTTCCTCCTCTTCATCCCACTCTTTCACCTCAAAGATCCTCCTCCTCCTCACTCTCCTCCCCGTTTCCTTAGCTACCATAGCATTCATCCTTCAATGGCGTGGTGGCATAACCGATCCATCGACCCTTTTGTCCCCTCATGGCTCCCATAATTTCCCCGGCATGGAATCTTCTCTTCTTTCCCCTCTCCCTCATTCAACTTCCCGTTCTTCTGATTGCCTTAACCTTGGTCGCTCTTCTTCACCTTCTTTCCCTTATTACCATAACTGGAAGCTTGACTTTGGTGATTCTCTTACCCCAAAGGTTTGTTTTTTTGCTTCTTTTCTTTGCTTTGTAATGTGGGCTGTGCCTATTTTTTGTGGCTGTAATTATGAAGCAAAAGGGTTGCTTCTTGGTGGGGTTTGGATGTATTTTCACTTCTTCAATTAATTGTGCTGGTTCTGATGTTTTTGGTCATGTGATCTGTGTTTATAAATTGGGTTGATGTAGAAATTTTTGTTGGTGATTAGTAGATGAGGATAATGAAGGTTGGTTCTGAAATTATTGTCTCTGTTGCTGTTCTTGTTTTTGTGCAATTCGATTAGTAAAGTGTGTTTTTTTAACTATCTTTTTGAATGTTATAGTAATTTTTTGTTTAAGATTTAGTCTTATCTGAGTTGAATTTTAAGTAAAGTATGTTATTAGTATTGGAGATTGAGTTCATGTGATCTTTGTTTGATTAGTTTTCTATGATCTGTGTTTGTAAATGGGATTGATGTAGAAATTTTAGTGGTAATTAGTTGATGAAGATAATGAAGGTTGTTTGGAAAATATTGTTTATGTTGCTGTTCTTCTTTTTTAGCTATTTGATTAGCAAAATGTCTTTTTTTACCTAACGTTTCGAATCTTAGTAATTTTAGTTTAAGATTTAGACCTAGCTGTGTTGAACTTCGAGTAAATTATGTTATTAGAATTCAGGTGCTGGAGTTTGAGTTCATGCGATCTGTGCTTTATTGGATTTGTGTGATCCGTGTTTGATGGTTTCTGCAAATTGAGTTAATTTTGATATATTTTTGTTGAACATTGTTTCTAAGAATATGTTATTGCTCTTATGTTTAAGCTATTTTAAACACAGAAAGCCTTATTCCGCTTCATTTTTAATTCGCGTACACGATTGATTTCATCTTTATTGCTACTTTTTTTTGTGTTGATCCATATTTTATACCTGATTTGCAGATCTGTGTTACGACTAGTACATCAGCAGGGCTTGAGCAGATTCTTCCGTGGATGTTTTATCATAAAGTCATCGGTGTAACAAACTTTTTTCTCTTTGTGGAGGGGAAGGCTGCTTCTCCTGAAGTATCAAAGGTTTTGGAATCAATTCCTGTAAGTAAAAACACAAACTCAGTGTGTGTTTGGTTCTACGATTTCAAAAATTGAATTTGTAAAATTTGATTTTAGTTAGAAGTTGATTAAGGTAAATTGATGTTAGCCTGAAAGTGAGTAGAACAATAAGTTTCAGTGTTCTTAGTATTAGGATTTCAATTCTTTCGGTTTATTTCAGATTCCTCCTTTATCTTCCCTAATGTTATTATTCGAATCTGATTTGTGTTATTTAACTAGGGTGTAAAGGTTATATATAGAACAAAGCAGCTGGAAGAACAACAAGCTAAGAGGTTGATCAATTTTTCCATTTTTATACGGACTCCGATCCTTTGAATTTATTTTTCAATTTTCAATAGTGTGCTATAGAGTTTCTCTGTTTGAAAATATAGTGTTGTTCTAGAGCTTCTAATTATTCACGTTTCCGCTTCTTTTATCGCCCGTGTTCATGCTCATCGCCATAAGATTTTATTTCTTCTTCAGGATAAATATATATATGTAATATTATTCTAATTGTAATTTTTTAGTTTCTGTGAGAGATATTTTCTCGTACTGATTATTTATATCGTTGGTTGCATCAGCCGTATTTGGAATGAGACATGGCTGGCAAGTTTCTTTTATAAGCCATGCAATTATGAACTTTTTGTGAAGCAATCCCTCAACATGGAGATCGCCATTGTTATGGCAAGGGTATGGAGAATTGTTTTATAGCACAGATTCATTATTTATTTATTTGCTTAATTTTGTTGATCACCTCAATTTCGTGCCTGCTGTAACATCAGGAAGCTGGTATGGACTGGATTCTCCATCTTGATACAGACGAATTAATACACCCGGCTGGTGCTCGTGAGTATTCTTTAAGGCAGCTGCTTCTTGATGTTCCGGGAAATGTTGATATGGTTATATTTCCTAACTATGTGAGTAGAATCTTCAAATTAGTTTTTTAATTTCATGATATCTTTTTAAAACTCGTGAAACTGGACGATGAAATGGCTATATTAGCTTCAGTGTTGTAACTAATGCTATCAGTCTTCTTTTTTTAGGAAAGCAGTGTCGAGAAAGACGATATCAAAGAACCCTTTAGTGAGGTAAGTCACGAAAGCTTTAAAGAGTCTTTGCTAAAAGTGTGCAACTTATAAAAACACATTTTGAATTTTTCTTTTTTGTGCACGCATGCTTGTGTTTGACTGAATTTGTAGAATGTGTACAGAAATTTTCCGCGTTTCTGATATAAAGTTTGCATGTTTTTTTTATTTATAATTCTACTCGCGTCTTTCTCTCTCGATGTGTCAAATCAGGTAACGATGTTCAAGAAGAATTACGACCATCTTCCAAAGGACACATACTTTGGCACATACAAAGATTCTGTGCGCGGCAATCCAAACTATTTCCTGACTTACGGAAATGGAAAATCAGTTGCACGGGTACAAGATCACCTTCGGCCTAACGGTGCACACAGATGGCACAATTATATGAAAACCCCAAAGTATAATACATCATCAATCTATACAACATATTTGTGTCGATGAACTTTTTAATTAGTATCGTGATAATTCTTCTGAATTATGCAGTGAAATCAAATTGGAAGAGGCTGCTGTTTTACATTACACGTACGCCAAATTCTCCGATTTAACTTCTAGGCGTGATCGTTGTGGTTGCAAACCTACAAAAGAAGACGTCAAAAGATGCTTCATGTTAGAATTTGACAGATCTGTAAGTTTTAGTTTTTCGATTCTACCTCGATTCTACGCATTCATCATTGCTTTTATTTGTGCTAAGTAGGCCTTATTATCAATTTCAGGCATTCATCATTGCTTCAACAGCAACTGAAGAAGAAATGTTGAAGTGGTATGCCAACATCAATTTATATTTACTTATACTTTCTTATGTATTTTAACCATGATTTTATCGATCTTCGAGAAACATTTGATCGTTGTTTCTTGTTCCAGGTATAATGAGCATGTTGTGTGGGGTGATAAAGAGCTGAAGATAAAACTGTTGAGGAAAGGAATATTGACTCGCATATACGCTCCCATGGTAAGTGAAAAGTTAGTTAAAGTTGTTCCAATGACTCAGCGTGTTAGAGAACCTCTTAAATAGTCGCGATATAGAGCTGTAATATAGCTGAATTTAAACAAATCACTATCGTTCTGCAAAAATATTGTAAAATACCAGACATAGCAGCGCTTGGCGCTATTGACAACAGTGTGTTAGATAGAGCCGTTGCTATATCTATTTCCACATATTTTACATTTCTCGCCGAACTTCTCTTCAGGTCATAATACAAAGTTTGAGGGAATCCGGAGTATTCAGTTCCGTCATTACATCAGCGCCAACACTTTCGAAAGACAAGTTCTTGCATTCAATTGATAGTAGCAATTCAACAAGAGCTGTTGCCTCTATATCCCATCCATCCAGAAAAGTTGGAAGACTCAAAGAATCTCAAGCAACTGCAAGGAGGATTCTGGATCTTGAATCTTCTGTATTTCAAGAATCGGCCGTACCGCCAGAGTCTCCTCCTGGAGTAGTAGAAGATAGTCATCTCATTTCACACTCATGATCAGTTTCAGTTTCAGTTTCAGTTTCAGGATCATCCTTTCTTCTCCTTCCATACTCCATAGGTTGATATGTTATATCTTGTTTTTGGCATTTTTCTGTATAGAGTGCTATCATTGAATTCTATTTTGTGCTGTTTTTCTACAATATAGGATAATAGTATTTTATATCACATGTTATTGATTATATATTATGACACTCGTGCTAATGTATGAAGCTATTAAACAACAGAGATAGTCTGAAATATTTGCTTAAAAATAGAATTTTTTTTTTTTAATTTTTAAAAATAAATTTTATGAAACAGTTATTTAAAATATTACAAGTTTTTAATATTTTTTATTCTTAAATTAAAAAAATAATTTTAACATCTTATAATATAAAGATACATTATTAAAGATCAAATCGTAATTTTTTATAAAATTATTTTTCAAAATTGATTTTTATAAAAAGTTACGAAATAGGAAAAGAGAAAATGAAAAATGTATATAAAATGATTTTATATCTTGAACCAATCACTCTCATATATCAATATCTCTTTTCTATTTCTATTGTACTAAACAGTAGAATTGTAGCATTTCTTTCCATTTTCTCTCAAAACAAACACACTCGCAACAGTAACAAGAACGAGAACATTACAAACACGAACCAACCCATCATCCACACTACACACTGTTACACTATAATCCATGGCCACTTCATTTCTCATCTCTAACCCAATTTCTCGCACTCACACCTTCACATTCCCTTCCTCGAGGGCCCCACCTTACCTCATCTCTCCGCCTCTTCTCCACGCCACTTACCGGAGACCAAGACGCGCCACGGTGGTCACACGCGCCGGCGCAAACGCCAATAGCTACGCTTTCGCGATTGCACTTCCTCTTTCTCTCCTCGTTGTTACGGTGTTCACTGCCCTCCGAATTGGTGAGAAGCTCGACAAAGATTACTACGAAGAGGTAACAATAGCACTATAACTAGGGTTCTTTTTTATGCTGCTTGTTTGTTTATGTGTATTCGAGGTGTTTGATGAAATTCCTCAACCGGATTTTAAGCAATTGCGTAATTGGACTATGTGGTTGAATGAGCATGGTACTGGTTTTTGTATTTTTACAAAGTTGAAAGTAATCAAATTAGGAAAATTATCTTCCGAGTTACTAGAACAGTAACATTATGAGAGCTACTTATCTTAGCACCTTTGATGGGCAACCTATATCATTTTGAAACAACTTACTTTTAGAAACAAGATTATTTGTTTGTTTGTTTGGTTCTGCGGTGATACAAAATTAATTTTGACTGAAATGGTTTGGAAAATCAATTCTTACTAAAAGTGATGACTCGGAATTGACAGTGTGTGTTTGGTTCTGTGTGTGTTTGCAGTGACGGTAGATAGAATTTAGTTTGGTAAAATTGATTTTAACATAATTGATTTATGTTTGGATATATTTATGTAAAAGTGAGTTGAAAAATAGATTTTAGTGTAACATCACGTTTAAACTCAGAGGCTACAAATTGTACCTTCAAGTAGAATCAATCTTAGTGACAGAATCAATTCTACTTTAGAATAATCAAATACTTTAAAACCACTTCAGTTTTACACCTCTAGAATTGCTTTTGGTCATTTCAAAAGCCACTCCAAACATGTCATAAGTCTATGTTTGGAATTCTCAAAAATCACGGCACCACTGGCACAGTTTGTAAAAGCTAAAATTGTAGCTTTAGAAAAATCACGGTGAGAAGCTCTTGAATGTAAGATGGCGGTGAATGAATTTGTTTCCAAACACACACTAAACGTGATTTGAATGTTATGTTTGGATACATTTACATATAAGTGAGATGAAAATTAACTTTCAATGTTTAGATTCAAAAGCTACCAATCTTAAATTTAAGTTAGAATCAATTTTGGAGACAAAGTCAATTATAAAGGATAGCAACCAAACATGTTAAAATCAGTTTTAGACATCCAAAATCAGTTAAGCAAGCTCTAAAATTTGGAGCCAAAGATAGACTTGGTAGTAGTAATTAATAACTAGCTTCAGAATGAAAAAAAATAAAAAAATGATAAAAAAGTATTATTTAATAAGTATGCAATTTAAGTTTTTCATTTATTGGATCCTTAAAAAGTTCATTTAAACATTTTCTTATAATTTGAATTTTGGAAATGAGTTCACTTTTGTAGAGTTGCTTATTGGATTTCTTTTTCCCAGTTACTGTAATTTGGATTCCATATGCCAAATTAAGCCTTTTGAGTTGGTTGATCTTCCCTTTGGCATTTGCCTATGCCTGTTAAGTCCTGTTCAATCGACAGAAGATATATCTAGGAGTCTCTAAATTCTAAACACTCAAATAAATAGTTGATATGTGTAAAAAAATAGACATTTCTAACATGAACTATGCAACCTTAGTTACCTCTACCTTAAGATATTTTCCAGATTGTAAAAATGTTATATATTTAGCTTCAAATCTTTACATCTTTAAAAGTTAATCTTTGGAGTCTGGAGTTAAGAAGATAGTTAATATCGTTGAAAATTTCTCATACGTGTTTTGGTGAACAGAGAATGGTTTGATTGTGCCTTTAGTCCATACACATTTTTTCATCAGTTATCTCAATGAATATTTTATGTAACAGTTGAATCACTAATATCTGCCATATTTGCAATAGGTGCAAGTGTATGCGATTCTATGTTTACCAGCTCAATAAGGAACATCTAATCTTCATGCTCCTCTATGCGCTAATTTCTAACCTCTTTTGGAAATATTTGTCAGTTGTCTTCTGTTTTCCATGATTTTGTGACATGTTTTTTCAATACCAGATGGCAATAAATGAAGCTATCATGGAAGTTGACGAAGAGGAGGAAGAGGACTACGATGATGACGCAGAACCTTATTTACAAGAAGAACCTGTCCTTCCACGTGGCCGCAACAGACCAAAAAGAGAAGCTTAAATGTGAGGTGATCTACGGTAGACTTGCAAATGAGTATGGAGGATAAGGAGCTCAGTCAATGTTACATTGGTTATCTTGCAATCATTTTTACTGCTTAAGCAACAATCATGTAATATGAATCTAATATGTAAGTTTATAAAGGGTTTATAATGTAAGCAATAGTTTATTTTACCAATGTTGATAGAAAGAATACTATTTATTCAGAAAAATACCAATAATTAAATTCTTAAAAGAAAAGGTGAATACAGTGTAATACTACATTTCCATTAGTATTCCATGCACATGTAGAAATGTAATACTATATATATAAACTATACTAAATTGATAATCAACTTATGGTAACAACCTGAATAACTAACTCTAACAATTGATCATGGATTAAGGAGACTAATAACAAATTAGGGATTGCAATCCAATATTCTCCCACAAGCTGGATTGTGAAGAGATTTCAGACCAAACTTGGAAATAAAAAATTCAAAGGTTAGTTTGTAGAGAGAGTTGGTAAATGAATCAACCACTTGTGAAATGGAGGAGATATGAAAAAGCTTGATCAACTTTTCTTCTATTTTCTCTCTAGTAATGCCGTTATTTATGTAAACGTGTTTATGTGCTACGTATATTATTGATTATTGTCGAAGAAAACTGAAGTGGGTTTGATAACAAGTATGTGCAATTTTTCCAAAAGGTAGTGAAGCCATTAAATTTCAAAAGATAGGCTAGACAGGGCCTAGGGCCTTGTATTTTACATCAAAGTAGGATTTGGAGACTGTGATTTGCTTCTTAAATTTTTGGTAAATGAGAGAAGAGACAAGGAAAACAACATAGCCAATAATGGACTTTTTAGTAATGAGACACGTAGTCCAGTCTGAGCATGCAAATCTAAATACAGTAATATTAGTAGAAGAATAGAAAAAACCCTTTGCAGGACATGATGAGAGATCTTTCAAACATAAAGAAGAAAAATGAAGTTTGAGAAGGATTTTTTTCCGATAAGAAACACTGAATTTCGTTCTCAACAAGCGGGTAATGGAGAGTAAAAGACTTATTAGAGTTAATACATTTTTCTTTTCATTCTCTCCAACTTGAATTCAACCTAATCTCAAATGAACGCTCATTGATTTTTATAGTAAGGAAATCAATTTAAACAATGTTCATGTATTAAAGAATTTTTTTTAGAATCCCACAAAATTCAATGATGAACAAAACTTTCAAATTATGCACATAAACCAAATTCATCACTAAAATGAGATCTAAACTGTTTAGGATCAAAGGGGTTAACGAATTATCACTACTCACGGGTAAGTTACTTTTTGATATGGTTGTGCTCACTATAAACAAATGCCTTGATAATTTCTAATGCTTCCACAAAATCACAATAATCAAAAGATTAAGTATGAATCAAACGAATCAAACAAAGTTATCAGTCATCCTAACATATAGTAAATAATGGAGGTTTCTCACAATTTGTGACTTTTGGATCTAAGTGAACCAAACATTCAAACAAGTTGCAAAATGAAACAAGAATACACATTTGCACAAAGCACAAAATTCTTAAATCATTCTAACATTCTATAAAGCAGTACAATTTACCTTGCTTGCATTCACATGTTCAACATCCTACCATCACCATCCAAACTTGGGAAATCTTCATTGGATACTTTTGTACAAATAGCAACCTATCTGGAAGAAGTTCTCATCATTCATCCCTAATCAACACTTGAAAAACATAAAAGGAAACAAGTATATACCCAATATAAACAACTGTGCAAAACTAAAAAATATAGAAACTATTGCAATAAACTTCAATATTTAAACATCAATCCCAGACCAGAGCGCCATTTTGTTCTAACTGTAGTAGAAGTACAAATTTAGTTTTGGAAGGATTCCCTGCAGGATTTATATCGTCTCCACATGGATCGGTGCGAGGGAAAGAATGCCGTTCAAGAGTCTCTATATTTCTAAGCTTATTGTGAAAAAGTTGGTTAAAATATTTAAGGTACAATAGATAAAAACTGAAAATATAAAGGCGGAAAATATAAAATAAAGACCGAAATATAAACTGAGGCTTGTTGGAATTGGATCTCATCAATTGATAACACATGCATTCTTCTAACCAGTTAAACACGAATCAATTATTCGTCTGATATCCTCACATATCACCCACAATCGCGGTTATGTCTAACGCAAAGTCGAGAGAACAATCGTATTGTCTCATAGGTGATGTCTCACGCAACTCAACAACGCAGAGCATTAATAACTGATACTCATGCAAATGCTAAGTCTAAATTTATGTCTAGAGTCTAGAACCTAGCATGTATCCGAAGATGACATCCATATCAAATTCATGATTGATTCACATAAAATTTCATGACCAGAATACACACATACGCTTAACTCTTTTTACATGCATTCAACTAATTTGCCAAATGTGTATGAACATAGTTCTTCATCACTATTATCACGCATCCTCACAATATCGTTTGCGTCAAAAACGTTATCATGGTCTTTACTGTATTGATCCTACTCATGCTACTAATCAACACAATAAATTGAAAATGATACTAGTGAATATCAACTCGCAAGACTATGTCAAATGTTTGCTCATTGATAGATGAGTATCTTAGATCAAAGATTTTAAAAGGTTTTGTCAAGATCTACACATAAGAAATCAAAGACAACATCAATATTGAATCAAAACTAGTTCACAATACATAAATTAGATGAAATACATAAGATATCAAAAGATTATATCCAAACCTAACAAGAAATCGAAGCACTTACTCGGAGATCAAGCTCCGATTTTATTTGATTTTGGCTTCCCCCCTTAGAGTTTTATTTCTCTCTCTAAAATTATGTTCGAAATGAAGAAAGATAAAGTTCTGATTCCAAAAAGTACAAGTTATGTTCTAAAAAGTGAGAAAAGTACTTAAATAATATTTACAAAATCTGTCTTGTTTGCCTAGCAAAGACTACTTTTGGACACTTCAAGTGCCTCAAGAACAGTTAAACCACCCTTGGAAAATATATGAGTTCGCTTTGCAAATACTTCTTCGCACAACGAACCTCTTGGATTCAACTTCGCCTAGCGAACTTTGGGTCCTTTCCCTACTGCCTCTAATTTGGGATGGTTCGTTGAGGCTTCGCCAGGACCTCACATGACGAGCATTCACTTTCACCTCGCTGGTGTTCGCACATCGTATATGTTGATTCTTCATCAATTCTTTGACTTCCTTGTCCAATCATTTATGTCTTAATCTTTGATGTTTTATGCCTATATTCTGCACAATAACACACACATCAAAAACCCAAAGATATTTGCAATATAATTGAAGAATCATACAAGAACAAGAAGTAAATCTATTAAAACATGAGAATTGATTTGAAAAATATAAAGAAAGATGGTTCAATTTAAGTCAAAATTTGCACTTAACATGAACCTTACTCAAGGTAATCTTAAACATACTCCACACTCGACAATAATCACAACTCCTGATACGACTCCACCACTATCTAGTCATGAATCTTAACAACAGTTTGATGGTACTCGCAATAATCGCGGTGGTCGTTCTTTCCACTCTATAGATGGTGGTGTAATTTTGGTAGGTCCCACGTACAATGTCAAATCTGTTCCAAAACAGTACATGATGCCAAAGTATGCTACTACAGGCTCTCAGTTCAACCATCAGGCTTCAATCAATGGTGAAATCAAATCATTCTTCCCTAACCTTAATCAAACTTCATTATTCCTGGGCAACACTCTAGTCCTCAACAACAATCTTCACACCGTTGGCATGCTCCTTCTTCTGCTCAACAATGACATGCACTTTCACCTAGATTTTTCCCTATAATAACAACTCCACCTTATCCCTCATTTTTAGTTAAACAACTTCAAGCTTACTTAGTAGATTCAGAAACATGTCCTGGTCCATCAGCTACATCTCAATGGTATCCAGATTCAGGAGGAACACATCATGTGACAAACTCTACATATCACTTTCTAAACATCATTTCCACAAATGGTTATAACCACGTGCTGCTTGGTAATGGTCAAGGTTTGTCCATTACGTCTATTGGCAATACTTCATTTTAGTCCACATACAAACTACATGTCACACTCACACGAAATAATTTATTTCTAGTGCCAAAAGTTACTAAGAATTTTATTTTAGTGAGTCAATTCGCTAGAGACAATCAAGTCTATTTTGAGTTTCATCTCGATGTGTGTCTATAAGCTATTTTTGTACTTTATAAAGATTCTTGACAGTTTCTGAAGCGCACGAACCCAAACCGAGATCCTGATTTTTTTTCGTTTACCTGTGAGGAACATCTTCTATGATTAGAGTCAAGTAGAGTTATGATTCAAAACATAATCTTCTATGATTTGACTCAAATGAGACAAGGTCAATTTCTCACTTTCATAAGACTTCGTGATTCGAGTCGCACTTTGCACGATTCGAATCAAACATCTTTGCAACCTTGATTCAAACATTCTAACTTGTGATTCAATCAATATTTAATGCATCGATTTCTACCAAATTGCTAGGCTTAAAAAGGAGACAAAAACATGGATACGGCTACTAATGCATAATGTTCCAAATGATCTACAACAATGATGGAAATAAATTCATACAATTGACAAATATACACACGTGTGATAAATTAAATAGTTTATATACACGCAAATTACCAAATCATCAAAACTAAAATGTTATTGACGAAGATTGCAATTTCAGATCTTCACCCCTACATCATCATTGATTTTGATTGTTCTTTTTTAAATGCATGTTCATATTTTTGTTTGCCTTGAATATCCTTAACTTAATGGAGCTCATTTTATGAGTGTGATTAGGTTCAAACCTTTTAATATACCACAATCCATGTTTTGCCAACATAGTAGGAATCTTTGGGATAATTTATTTCTTTAGTAAAAAATGTCTTCAATGTAAAGGGTAGTCCTAACAATATCCTTCTCTTGAGAATGAAAGAATTGCATAATTGAT